GAGTTCGGGCTCTGCCCTCCGTCCCTGGCGCAGTCCTGTTTCCAGACCTCCTGTCTGGGAGATACTTAGTGTCCTCGTTTTTTAAGTCCAAATGAACTGAGGGTTTCTCTTCCTCACAGTCAAGGGCATTCCACCTGAGATATTAAATATTTTATTGCAACTAGCCATTGTGAAATTCTTAACTGTTTGGGAAAAAATGCTCAGTCGGCTTTGTTAAGGGATTAATTTTCAGAGATGGAATCTATTTCTCAACATAGAAGATACAGAGTGTGCAAAGCATCAAAGCGTACAGCCCACAGGTGGAGCCCCGCGTTTGCCTCTAACGTGTACGTGCACTTGTGATTTTTTTCAGCTCGTGCAACTTAAAATCTGTCTTCTGAAGAATATATTTGCATATGAGAAAACCACAAAATATGGAACACTCCTGCTGACAGAAGCACAGTTAGTCCTGTCCCCTGCTGAATTTCTGTAAATGCTGCACATCTTTCACAGGGATCTGAGGAGATGTATTTTCAGCTCTGTTCACTCCCCTCGTGGGAGAGGGAGTCGAGGAAATCTCAGAACATTCTTCTTCTTTTTTTCTGTGAATTAAACAAATAGGTTATGCTGTGCTTGCCTCTTGTGGGCTCTCACCGCCTAGTTGGGTAATTTTAATGACATGCTCCCCAACAATTCAGAATTGGAATGTATAAATTATAGAATGTCTACATCATTTTATAAAAATACGCAAGCTGTTAAACACAGGCATTTGCAGTGCGGTACCCGCGGCTTCCCCCCGACTCAGGCTGGCGCTCTGTTTCTGCACCGGTGAGGGCCACACGCACGCCTGCCTCCTGCAAGCACCGCTGGCGGCTGCTGGGGAGACAATCCCGTGGCGACGTGTCAGGGTCTGCGTGATGTGCGTCACCTGGGGATTATAGCCACAGTTTCCTGCCATGGTCAATGGTACCGTGGGAATTACTTTCTGAACAAAAAATAACACCCTTCTCTTTTCTGTAGACATTTCATCTTTCGGATCATTCAGATTTTCTGATTATTAACACATCATTTCCCATTAATTCCTATAACGTAGATGTTAGCATTTATTCCCCTGGCATTAATCCAATTTCCGAATTATAAACAACCGTAACAATAGTATGGACACCCCAGTTAGGGCAAAAAAATACCCTTGTACAAATTTTGTCATCTCCTTGAAAAGAAGAAAAACAAAACAAAACGCATTAAATGTCCTGGGTTAATACTTTTCATTTCCCTGGGGGTGCTCTGCCCTTCGAGTTGTAATTAAATTACTCTGATTTAATTTTAATTACAGACTGTTATTTTCAAGGATTATGTCCTGATTTTCAAAGGCTCTTGCAAGGGTACTTTGTGTTTCCTCTAAATATTTTATGTCACACATGGTCCACGTGAGTATGTAGTCCACAGCCAGCCACGTGTTGTTGCTCGCATCCTGCATGCCCAGCCATCACCCCACTCCGCAGCTGGTGCCAGCTGTGCTTGGAGGAAGGAAGAGGGCAGGATGTCGCCTCTAGTTGCAGATGAAAATGCCAGGCTGCCAAGTCGATGTACCCTGCTTTCACAACAATGCAAGTGTCTATGTTTAACCACGCCACCATTGTCCTCAGTCAACACTGAATTGTTTGGAAGAGTGGAGTTGTGAAAGTTATGTAAAATGGACTAACATCTCTTTCAGAACAAGCTTGGATGGACAGCAGCTGCTTTGTTTTAAGTGGGGGATGTGGGAACACGCTGGGCGTTTTCTGTTTATGACGCGTGGAGGCAAAATGTCTAACAGCTTTTTGTCTGTTTCCTTATAGATGCAGATCGCCCAGTCTAAGTCCCTTCCGTAGGAAAAACAATCCTCCATATAGGTTTTTCCTTCGTTTTTTTATCCCCCAGAAAGTGGAGAAAATCGATTGAAACTCCTCTTGTGCTGTAGAGCGGAGGCTGCGCTTAGGATCAGGGCGACCTGCACACGGGTGCGGGCCTTGGGCCCACGGACCCTCAGGAAGCATCCTGTCAGAATCCTGAAGACGAGAGCCTGAGGGGCATGATCAGCCGAGTGAGCGCACGGGGTCCTGCCTGTTGTTAGGGAAATGGCAGGCCAGCCAGGAGACAGCACCGCTCGGAGGGCTGGAGCACTCAGGTTTGTCACGCTGGCGGCTCGGAGGGGCTACGGCTCCTGAGCTCTGAGCGCCTCCAGAAGTGTGAGTGAGGGTTTTGCAGGGTCACTTCCAAGCTCGGGGTCCATCAACCAATAGGGTGAGTGCAGCGAGGCGGTGTCACAGCAGCGGAAGCAAAGGGTTGCTTGCAGTCACCCGAAACCGGTCTGCAGGGTGAGACTTAAACTCCGTGCGTTAGCCCAGCCCAGCTTGGCCCAGCCCAAGCGTTTCCTTCTCACTGTCACCTCTGTCGTGAGGGCTGCTTCAGTTATCTAGAGAACACACCTCTGCAGCTTTTTATCAATGCAAGTTTTCTAACGCCCTTCAGGGGTTTGCATGTGTGTGAGTGTCTTCGTGGGAGGATCTAGTGACTGCAGGGCGCGAGCTGTGAGAGGCATTTCTGAGCCCTCACCGCCGTCCCCCCCTGGGGTCCGGCCTGTAGAACCCTGCGTCCCAGGCTGTGCTGAAGTGACGGCCTGTCCTCGCACGGCTGGAAGCTGAGTGACGTTTAATGTACACTTGGTGATGTGTTAGCTGCGTCTTGTTTTATACCTGCGCTTTCAGGGGCCTCCACTGCCGTGTGCGCACCTCTCTCCCCCCGATTGGAGAAACTGCGTGTCAAGCCATCAAGTCATAAGCGGTGCCGCCCCACCCCCCACCCGCCCCACGTGAGGACCAGCCTGCAGCCGGCCGTCCTGCAGCCACTCA